GGTAAGGTAACATAGTTGTATAGTGAGAGTATAGAATGTTTTGAAAATATATTACTAATTCTATTAGTAATAATTTTGTATAGACTTTGTGAGTGCGTTCAATAAGACTTATTAAATGAGTAAGATTAAGATCTCCATCGAATATATTTCATTTATGAATAGAGTAGATTTTGCTGTACTTCTATTGTTTAGGAGTTTGATCTGAAACAAGACAGTGATTAAACAGAGCAGTTATAGCTTTAATGCAAGTAGTGTTAGTATGTTTAAGCATTTCATAACTAATGCCTGTAGGACTATAGGCTTTTCCATTAGAAAGCTTTGTTATAGTTTGAATAACTTCTTCTTCAGTAATAGGAGAAGAAAGAGAATCATATCATTAAGTATTGATATATGATAGTAGTTGATATTGTGCAGACCAAAAGTTATTAAAAAGGATTTGATCAGTTGGTCGATAAGCTGTCTAGTTATGAAAATGAGATTATATATGATGTTTAATAAGATTTGGGTCTGTAACTATTTGGTTCAGAAGTTTGATGTTAGAAAAATAAATAGGAGCTTTATAGCAATTAAGAATGCTATTAATGGCATGTTTGAAATATGTAAAAAGTGTTTCACATCTTTTTTCAGTAGCTTGTTGAATTTGTTATCAAAGCAAAAAAAAGTTTTCAAAATGATGAACATAATAGAGTTGTTTTCAAATATCTTGTGCATGTTGGATCTATTGGTTAAGTTGTAAATGTTAATGAAAGGTAAGAATATAAATGTTGCACTGAGATCTTGAATTGATATTTTGAATTCTTGAATTAATTTGATTAATGTTAAGATTGTTGTTAGGATTTTTCAAAATTTTAATTAAATGACCAAGTTCTTTAAATGATAAATGAAGTGAGATACTGTAAGGAGAGTATTGGTGGTTATAGCTATGTTTGTGTGATTTTTTGTTAGGAATAGAATGTATTGCAATATTAATGATTGAGTGTTCGATTTTATGCTAGATAGTTTTGATACTCTCATTTGTATTATAGTTAAGTGAAGTATTGTGTATTTTGAGATTAGAAAAGAGAAGGTCAAAAAATTCTGTCCAACTTTCTAATGACATAACTTTGTAGTTAAAGATTTTATGACTAATACCAGTATAATAGTGTGGTGGTTTACTATATGCATTAGTAAAAGTCCAAGAGAAAAGAAGAATAGAATGATTACTTAATATAGAAGTATTACTATTATCAAGTCTATATGAAAAAAAGAACTGTATGTTGAATGAGTCAGTCCAAATGTAGTCAATATGGCTTTGACTAGTATTGTTTGACTATGTGTAGTGTTTGTTATTAACATATGCTCCAATATCATACATGTTAGATTGATGTAGATAGTTAATAAGTTAAAATTTAGATGAGAAAATACAAATGTTGTCATGTATATTAAAGTCTTCAAGAATAATTAAATGTAGATTTAGTTGATGGGCTTATTGAATCCATATAATTACTATGTTTTGTGTTTTGTTTTATTTCTGCATATCAGTGGAGAAAAGGTAAACTGCAATAATGCAAAGTTTAATATTACTTTTGAAGAAAAGGTCTAAAGCAATAGCTTCATCTAGATGTGTTTAACAGTTATGTATATGAGGTTTGAGTTGGTTACGAATCATAATAGCAGTGCCTTCTGCTAAGTTTTCGAAGTTGGCTTAGAAATAGGTAAAAATATTGTTATTGCAAAACTGAAGATTAGTTTTGTTAGCAATTTTTGTTTCAGTAATACATGCTATATTAATGTTGTTGTAGAGACAGTAGTTTTGCCAAGCTTTCTTTTTAGTTGCTGTATTAAAGCCTCAAACATTGTGTGTGGCAATATTTAAGTATAGGTTACATAGGTTTTGGGTTAGTATAAAGGTTTGTGGCCTGGTTGTTAGTGGGTATAGAGATGAAATATTGTTAAGAAATAAGTTTGATATATTAGAAGTAGAGTTGAAAGAATATGATTTGAGAGGAAAATTGTAAAATTTAGAAAGAAGATAAGAGGGAATGATAATATGATTAGGAAAAAGTAAATCATTAGAAAGGTATATATGAGTTTTACTATAAATAGAATTAACAGAGAATGTAATACTAGTAACTTTTTAGTTGTGATTATATTTATCAATATGCTGTATGAGTGTTTGGATAGTTTGATTATAAGAGAGAAGAGGTATGTTATAATAAAGAAGGAATTTGTTAAAACATATGTCAAGATTATAAGGGGCTAAAAATGTTAAAAATAATCTTTAGAAGTTGTCTTTTACAGGATCGATCACTGTATGCTTGGCTCTCACAGCTGTGCAAGGTACCATAGTCTGCCCTATACATTGGGTCTGATCATCATTATCCTGGCCTTTCATATATTAAAAATAAATTTATTATATTTTAATTAAATATTTTTTCTTATCAATTTACAAATTTATAAAAAATATTTAAATTATTTAGATTTTAATTTATATCTTTTTTTTTTTATTATACAAACTATATTTTGTCTATTAAGTAAAAATGTTCTTTATATTATTTTACATATATAGTGCACGACACTTAAAGACTATATTTGGTTCATTTTGGGATCTAAAACTAAAATATGCCAAAAAGTTGATTTATGTAGTATTTTCGAATATTTTTACTGATCATGTGATCTGACTAATTATTTGTTATAATAAAATAATACCAGAATGAGCTAATGCATATGTATAATATCTGCCAGCTTAATACAAGAAATAGTAATCTAAATCTACCTTGAAACATTAACAAAAATAACAAGAAAGTGGTTTTATTTATAAACTTTAATTTCTACTTAATCTTATACATTATTAACATGATTCAAAAATATAAATATTTCAACTTTTGTAAATTGTTGAATTGATAAAACTTTTTGGTACAATATAAGACACAATACTGTAAATACTATCAAGTATTTATTTGTTTTTGTATTTTGTATCAAATCATATAGCCTAAGCTTGCTACCTACATGTGTATATTTCATATAATTGTTAAATTATATAAATAAATATATATAATCAGTTCAACATGTGTCTAATATAAAGAATGCACCAGGATGACCACCAAAAGTCTAAATCAGTTAATAAAATGCCACAGCTATATATATCTTAATAATAAGTAGTATATTGCTTTGTTACATATTTCAATTTAGCTATATGCAGAAGTTAAATGATTTAACAATTTTTAAAGAAATTATGCAATGGCTCCTGATCTGGACTTTTGGTGATTGCCCTGGCACACTCTATAATAAACCATACAATAAATAATTAACTTTTTATAAATCTTAAGAATTATCTTTAAAACCATACCAGGTTTTGAATACAACCATGCTAGATGGTTTATGGGCTTAATTTCTTTGATCTTTTGAATAGCATCAAACCAGGTTGTAGGCAATACAGAGCCAAACCTGAAATAACTTTTATGTAGCATTATATACAAAATTTAGTAATAAATTTAAATAATAACTTTCAACATAATAATATAAAAAAGTTAAGAACTTCACAATTGTACTGAATGTTATTTATTTTCACCTTTCTGATCTTAAATTTAAATTTAAAAAAAATTATAAATTTAAAAAAAAAATTTTTTAAATTTTAAAAAAATTTAAATTTAAAAAAACTGCCCCTAAAAAATTTAAATTTAAAAAATTTAAAGTTCATTCATTAAGACCAATCAAATTTGACTGTAGACTGATTAGCGAATAGAATAGGTGAAGTTAGATGAACCAGATAAAGCTGTATGATCCCTAATTAATTATAAATAACAAAAATTATGATTAATTATTGAACAGTTGATTATTATATTATTTCTTTCTACTAAACATCCCATTATGACCTTTTATTATTATTGTATGCTTTGTCATTATTTTTTTGAATAAATAAAGCTAGCTCATTCTTTGGTATTCGCCTATGCGATTTAAATTTCTTATAGACATACTCAGCTAATTTTCCTGTTAATCCCTCACAATACAATTCCATATATCTCTATAATTTTTAAGCAAACTTCCTTATTGTAATAATATCAACTGAATCTAATACACAAGGAACAGTTTGTTGCAAACCAGCCCAAGTATAATCGCAATTATCTCTAGCATATCTCTTAGCAGCCCCCTAATACATTTCAATAAAGTTGAGTTCACAGTAAAATTTTGGATAAAAAACACATAAATAACCTGCACCTTCTATTAGTTCCACAATTGCTGACTTTTGTACAATAAAATCAGGTTGAGATGTCATTATTTTTCTTGCACAACAATTTATTTGTAAATTATCTTTTGCTAATTTTTTATCCTTACATGTTTTACATTCTAAAAGCAACCCATTCTTCTAAAGCCCTATCTTCTTTAATATTAATTTAATACCTTTTGACTCTTCTTATATATTTTCATCATAATCTTCATCTTCTTCGAATCTATAGTCTTTGTCAAATATCATATGTTGGGTGTTTTGTCATCCATCAGCATCTACAAAAGTTGTCGATCACATTTTTGGTTGGTTTTCTCCAGGTTTTAGATTCATTCTTGCAGCAATAAGAGTGTTCTCTGCATATGCTTTATGGTTTGTACTATTGTCGAAGGCAAAGACAGCCATTATATTAGGAAACTTTGTTTCAAAAATAGGGATTACTTTATCCCTAATTTGTTCTAGCAAATTATTGACTGTCCAGAAACCTTCTTGGTTTTTTCTGGCATTAGATAGCAGCATGCTTCTATGGGAATGTTCAAGTGCATTCTTGCCTCTTCTTCACTTAATTTCAACTGACTACATTCTTCTAAAAGAAACTTACTTATTATAATTGATCTTCTATTTCATTTTTTTTGCAATAGCATGTTCTTATCTGATACTCAAATCCCTTGTTTTCCATCATTTAAATAAAAAACACTCTCATCATGTGTTATGAAGATTAATTCTCGTTTATTTTGTTTAAGTACTGAAGAAATTTTTTTCATGTTGTCTCCTTCATATCTGAAAATAACAAAAAATTTAATTAAAATTTTTTTAAAAAGATCATTAAAATCAATGTTAATATTCTATCATTCTATTATTATCCCCTAAACTGTTTTCTAGGCAAATTTGTCTGGAAATTTCATGATTGGTCTGTGATTAAGCTATCAAATTATATTGATTTGTAGTCTAAATCGTAGTAGATATATAGTTAAATTGACAGTTTAAGAGATATTGTAAATGTTTTATATATGAGATAAAACTTATCATTAGGCTTTCAATTATATTTTGTGCCCAGTTTGTTCTTTGAGTGCTGTAATAACTTCTTACATAATGTAATTGAAAACCCTATAACAAAATTTCTCTAAATGGCATTTAGAAAAAAAAACTAGACACAAAATATAAATGAAAGCCTAATGACAGGTTTTTTCTTGATAGTACTCATATTGAAATAGATTAAATTATTGCAGATATATAGTTTTGCTTTTTAATCTATTAACAATTATTTAATAATTACAAATTATTTAAACCAATTTTTTATATATAGCAAAAAAATGCTTAAATGTTCTATTTGCAGATCAAAATATTTTAGCAGTTAACATTGATTAAAATTATCCTAAAACATGCACATATTATTTCCATTATACCTCGCCATTCGCTGTTCTAAAATTGTCATTTCTTCTAAAATTTTTTTTGATAAACTACTACATTATCCTGCTCATATCCATTAAGGTACATACTTAGAATTACAAAATTACCATAATTTAATAATAAATATAACATAAAAATGTAATTTTTATAATACAGGCTTATATATACCTTGCCAGTATTTTTTAAATTAGAACCCCAAAATGTTTAACCAACGTTCAGCTGTCTGCAAGCTAATTGTTTTTTTTGTTTCTCCTATATGCTCTGGAAGAATAATGTCATTGACATATTCTTGAAACTTAGATGAATCAACATCATTTACTTCAGAATTTGTCATATCCACTGTTTACATTGCATTGCAATGTCTTTATCATCAACAAGTTACTTGTGTTTTTGATGTTTACCATGTTGTGAAAGTGGAAATGAACTATGATACAAATAATACTTGGCTAAAGACTGAATTCTTCTGGATATATATGGTTTTGGTTTGATGTAGGTTTTATATGTGGACTCTTTACTTGCTTCTTCTTTTCTATACCTGCTCTCTAGCAATACAAGGTATTCATAAACCACTCAACGTTCATTATATTCAGAGGCTGTAATTAAATATCCATTTTTTAGCAAATATTCATGAAGTTAGTTGATTCCTTCATATGCTGTGATAGGTAATACTTCATTTGTTAAAGATGCACTAAAATCACTTAAAAATTTTTTTAATTAGTGTTAGTAACTATAGTAAAGCCTAAAATATTTTGGCAAATTAATAACAAATAAGAAAAATTCACTAACTTTGCTGCTTTTAAAAAACTTGTAATCTTATGAGTTCTTTTAGCCATATTGGTAAGAATGCTGAAGGCACCAAACTTATGATAATAAGTTGTTTTTGGTAACCCTTTTACCATTCTTGGTTTTTTTTCCTTTATCTTGCATATAGGAGTTACAGTAAGTAAGTGTTTGTGTGTCTTTTTATCTCATTGTTTTTATCCTCATCATCCTCCTTCATATCAAGCTCACTATCCTCTTCTAAATCTTGCACAATCTCTTACTCAGCTTTCTTCTCAACATTCATCTCAACATTCTTCTCAGCATTTATAACAACATTCACCTCAACATCCTCCTCAGCATTTATAACAACATTTACCTCAACATTCATCTCAGCATCCTTCTCAACATTTGCCTTAACATCCTCCTTAACATTCGCCTTAACATCCCCCTCAATATTCACCTCAATATCCTCTTCAACATTCATCCAAATATTCTCTTCAACATTTCCTTCAACTTTTTCTTCTTTTTGCTATCTTTCCTCTGCTAACTCTTTTCTTCGTTTATTATATTTTTTGAGTATATTATTTAATTTTTTCTTTGTCATATTTTATTAAAACACCTAAAATTGTATTTCTTATGCAGATTCTTATCACATAAAAGGTATATTTATATATATGTGTGTTCAAGTAGATTATGCTTTGTATTGGGGTGCTAAAGCTACACAAGCTATGCAGGTTCTTCTAGAGCCAAGCAAGCTACACAGGCTCTTCTAGGACCATACAAGCTACGCAGGCTCAGGAGCTATACACAAATTGGTTTGTATATGAGTTAGTTACTAAAGAGTCACACACTAATTATATTTGTATGTGGATTATTAAACTTTTAAAATTTTTGTGTAAAAGCAAAAAACTTTTTTTTAATCTTTATAATAGCCATCATTTTGTCACGTGCTTTCATTAACCAATCAAAATGTTATACTCAAAATATTTAATTTGATTGGTTGATATATTTGTTCCATTTTGACCAATTTTATATACTAATATATAAATTTTGTGACTTTTTAAATTGAATTAAGTTAAAAATAAATAATTAACATTAAAAAAATAAAGCTGCTAAGTTGTAGTATATTGATTTAGTTACAAAATAGCAGTATTTTTTTTTTAGTATTATCTTTATGTTAAAAGTTGTTAGTTTTTAAAATTTGTGTAGTCTTTAAGTGTCATGCGCCATATCTTTTACAACTAGATATTACAAAATAAAACCAAAACTCTAATTAATAATATATAACCAAACTAACATAATTATTAGAAAAGCCAAAAGATATAATCAAATAGATAACTCTATTACATTAGACAATCCAGTTTGATATTTACAAACAGCATTATATTTTTATTTAGATTATATTTACAAACAATGTACAGAATGTTTTTAAACTTTGGCTATATACAAAACAAATATATATTTGAAATCACAACTAGTCTTGCAACTAAATTTTTAGAAAAAACTGTTTATACAAACTTATCTAAAAGACTCAATCTATATTCTAACTTACTAGACTTACTTTACTTAATTGCATTAAAACATCTTATTACAATATCTACATCTTCTACAATTACAATTTATAATAATCCAATATTTAAAATATTTAATGACAATTATTTTATACAAATATTGCAACAAATTGCACAATATAATACTAACTATTTACAACTAATCTTTTATACTAATAGATCAGTAACAAATATTACATATAAACAATATAAAATAGGAATTGGTTGGATCCAAGTCCAAAATAATACAACTATACAAAGCTACTTAGCAAAAATTAAGCTTTGACCTTTTTTATACAAAACTGAATTTATTGCTATTTTCTTTGCAATTAGTACCTGTTCTAAATCTAGCCAGGTTACAATCTTTACAAACTCTTAATTTATAATATCTAAATATAACAAACTTTTGAAATTACTACTAACATTAAACAAATAATATTTTTATAATTACTAACTAATATAGTACACTTTACTAAATCTAATTAAAACTTACCAAATTGAAGTTAACTTTTAAAAAGTAGCTACATATAGCAACAATATCTTTAACAATATAGTAAATAAATTAGCAAAAAACTAAAATCATTTACATATATTAGAATTTTTTTTTAAACTAACTGCTTAAAAACACAGATGACATCTTTTATTATTAATTATTGCTAATATACAAGAATATTTACAATTTTTTTAAACATTTAAAAAGCTTAGTTTTCTTTGAGTTATTACTAATATTTTTAAACAATACTCTAATTTTATTAGCTAGACACTTAGCTACTATAGAGAGACATATTAGAATTTATATATAATATATATAACTTATTATATTACTTATAATACAACAATTTTGCATTCAAACAACTAACAAGAAGATCTATTAAAAACATTTGTAATGTTTAAAACATCACAATATAGTTATCATAATACTGTATAAAAAATATTATACTAATAGCTATACAAATTAATTGGAATATAAATAGTTTTATCTTTTTTTTTTTTTTTTTTTTTTTTTTTAAGGTGAGGTTTTGCTCATATCTTTATTGATTTGTTAAAGAAGCCTTCAGGGCTTCTCTGGATATAAATTACAAACTTATTCCAATTACAAATATATTACAAGAATGGAGCTCAGACTATAAACAG